TCGGCCCCATTAGGTTTGTAACCCATTTTCCATAACAATTTGTTTAAATGACCTTTACCCAAATTTCACAATAAAATTTAATAAATAATCATATTAAATTTTCATATAGAAATCGTTTACACCGATGTATCCTATCTTATTGCTTCCTGGCTAGAACCCGAGTTTCAATTCTAGTCAAGCTCCAAATCTAGTATTTTTGCTTTTTCTTTAAAAGAAGACAACGAGTTTCAATTCTAGTCAAGCTCCAAATCTAGTATTTTTGCTTTTAAAGTTCCAATTCTAGTCAAGCTCCAAATCTAGTATTTTTGCTTCTAAAGTTCCAATTCTAGTCAAGCTCCAAATCTAGTATTTTTGCTTTTTCTTTAAAAGAAGACAAAAAGCTTATTTCGCTGTACCAAAAAAAAAAGCTTATTTCGCTCCTACATAGAGGAAAGCGCTCTCAAGTCTGCTCATTTTACCAATATACCCTTAACACAAAATTTGTTATATCTTTACTTTCTTTTTCAGTTTATCTTTCTTCTTCAATTCTTTCTTTCAAATTGTCCGCCCCCCTCTCGCTATCTTCTTCCTCGCCCTCACTCTCTACTTTTCTTCTTGGTCGTCCTCTGTCGCCTCTCTTCACGCTCACGCCCTTTCGCCCGGCCTGTCGCAGTCACTTCCTCTCGTCCGACATCTCTCTGCCATCGTTACATTATTTAAAATCATTTCACGAAAGCCTGAAAGTATTATCACCTCCGAAATACTCCTTATTATTTTCAATAGTTACAAATCTTCCCCAATGGTGTATCAACGATGGCCGGTTTCCGACATTCGAGTATCGTTTTGCAAAGAAATCAAAGGTTGTGATATTCTCGGCCAAAGTTCAAAAATCGTGATGTTTTAGCAATATGGTAAAAAGTCGTGATATAACGAGCTATTTTGCCTTAAATAAATACAATTTTTTAAATAAAAATAGTCCCACATAACAAAATCATACATTAGTCTATATAGTGTGGCAAACCGCTTCAATTTATATATTTTAAAAGAATCAGACATTTAAACGAATAAATATTATGTGAATAAATATTGCCGAAAAAGTATCTTTTTTTTTTGCAATTTTTCAATATGATACGTATAGCGTCCACATTTTAATGAAATATACCTCCGATTTCACAAAATCAAAACCAAAAATTGGAATCCAAATTTGTTGGAATTGTTTATTTTGAATAAGTAAATTCTCGAGAAATATATTTGTATAAAATATATTAAAATTTGATTAAAAATATTTTGAAGCATAGTTATCTTATATGTGATTAAAGATAAATATAAATAACAAATTTAAAAATACATCACAACTAACCTATTATATATTAGACGTGAATAATGATAAATATAAATCACAACTAACCTATTATATCTTAGATGTGATGAATGATAAGTATGAATAAAAAAATCAGAAAAAAGATTTAAAAGAATGAAACAGTATCTTGAAGCATAATTATCTTTAACTAACATGTGATATATACAATTTATTTCTTAATTATCTCTATTATGTACGTTTAAAAAATTTGTTCTTTTGGATGAATTTTATTAAACATATTTAAATTGAAATTGATTAGTATAATTATATTTTTAAACATAAAACTAAAAAAGCCAAAAATATGATTGTTCAAAGTTTTGTTTAGCTCGATAATTATAGGTATATATTTTAAAAGAATCAGACATTTAAACGAATAAATATTATGTGAATAAATATTGCCGAAAAACTATCTTTTTTTTGGCAATTTTTCAATATGATACGTATAGTGTCCACACTTTAATGAAATATACCTCCGATTTCACAAAATCAAAACCAAAAATTGGAATCCAAATTTGTTGGAATTGTTTATTTCGAATAAGTAAATTCTCGAGAAATATATTTGTATAGAATATATTAAAATTTGATTAAAAATATTTTGAAGCATAGTTATCTTATATGTGATTAAAGATAAATATAAATAACAAATTTAAAAATACATCACAACTAACCTATTATATTTTAGACGTGAATAATGATAAATAAAAATCACAACTAACCTATTATATCTTAGATGTGATGAAGGGTAAGTATGAATAAAATAATCGGAAAAAAGATTTAAAAGAATGAAACAATATCTTGAAGCATAATTATCTTTAACTAACATGTGATATATATAATTTATTTCTTAATTATCTCTATTATGTACGTGTAAAAAATTTGTTCTTTTTTAAAAAATTAGTATAATTATATTTTTAAACATAAAACTGAAAAAGCCTATTAGTATAGAATATATTAAAATTTGATATGTTAAAGAGAGTGGACAATATTGTTAAAATTTATAATGTAGGAGTTCTTTCATTAAAAATTATATATAATCTTTTTATATAAATTTGATAATTAGAAATGTAAATCCTTAGGTAACTTGAATTTGTGATATTTATTATTAATATTTAAAATGAAATATCGTATTTTAATAAAATTTACAAAATAATGACTAAATGTTGAATAAACATTCAACTAATTCGTTCAAATTAAATTAGACACATTCAATAAAAATGTTGAAGGACATGGAATATAAACGAAATTTCTCAGTAAAATTGAACGACATGAAATAAAAATTAAAGATCACATAATTATAAGAAAATTACGCTAGAAAAATACGATAACAATTTTTTTTTATTATGGATCTAGTCTTAAAAAATTATAGAGGCTCATGGAAAACTTCCATTCCATTTCATCACGCGTGTAATGCTCATGAACACAATTTTCCAATTGTGGAGGGTTGCCCTTTGCCGCCCATTATTGGGTTTCAGTCCATAGTTGGCGATACAATACACTTCACCCTCTTTAAAAACATGTCGGAATAAGCTCAACTGTTTGTAACGTATTAACCCACTTATTTGTGCACCCTACAATATAAATTTGTACGATATCAATAAAATAAAGAAGTTTTTCCGTAAGAATATGAATTACATAAGAATTAATAATATTACCTCTTGATCTTCAAAAATGATGGCACAAAAGTTTTTTGTCTCCAATTCATAATCGGTCTCAACAATTAGAGTTGCTCTTAACTTCAAAAAAGGCCTGTTCACCCTAGTAACAGCGCGGAGTCTATCAAACACTTGTGCCATTTTTTTTTATTTGTTTTCTAAATATGTGTTTTTCTGATTTTGCAGAATAACTTTGGAAGAAAAGTGAAGTAAAAAACGTTGTAAAGGAATGAGTAGATATATATAGGATTTGTAAAGTTGTTTGTAATCTTTTTTTTTTTTTGATTAACTATATTAATTCATGTAAATCCCGTCCGATCTTAACAAAAAAAGATAAGAAACGAAAAATAAGGGTATAAAAAAAATCAGAATTATTTTGTCAATTGTTCCGTCGTTAATTACGTTATTTGCACCGTGAATTACGTAATTCCATTTATTAGAAGACTGAATGCATGTAAAACAGGACTCTATTTACGTTAAATGCATGTGAACCTGCGGCGGGAATAAACGAAAAAATTCAAAAAGATATACCAAATGAAGTAAGAATGATAAAAAGAAGCGGGAATTGAACTTTTTACTTTCGATTTTTTTCATAATAAACCTTAAGTGTATTTTATAGTAATAGATTTTGTCAGAAAAGTAATATGTAGAAAAAAAAAAGAGTAACTCATGTTTTAATATTTTTAAAAATCTCGCACAAATAAGCTAAAAAGTTTTTTTCATTATTCAAATTTCAAAGTTCTTCCTTTATCTGAAAAAACCTTGTGGCAAGCTGTAAAACCCAATATTGTAGAGAATTTATTAAAAGCTACAATCACCGGGTCCCTCTTCACTCGATCGATCTTCCCCATGCGAAAAGCCTAATTTCGAAATTTTATCGTTGAAGATGACAAAAATATCGAATTCGATTTCAGGCGGCATCAGGTGGCTGAGTACCCGGTGGCTGCGGCCGCGCTGCCTCCGCCAGAAAAGCCTGTGGAGTCCAAATCGGGATCCATCCTACCCAACTCCATTACTATAAGCGAGATCCGACCGTTTAACGAAAATTGCGGCCGAAAATTGGGCCATACGGCGGGCTCGGGCCCTAAGAAGTCCTTCAGCCCGGACCTCGTCGGTGAAATTTACTACACTGAGTTAACTGTTAAAGGTGACTGCCACATTGTAGGAGCGATGCTGTTCATACTGTTGTTTTGTACTTGAAAATTGGAATCCTTTTGATTCATCCTATTGATTTAACTCATACGAAATAAGTATCTAGGGAGAATCCAATATGAATTTTGATGTCCATAACCAAGGGATTAAGTCAGTGAGTATATCTGAACTGGTTGTTCGCTGTTCAAGAAGAATTCTTGTTTTGGCTTGATCATACTCAATTATCTAGTTCGAGAAAAGGGCTATTTGTATAGAATATGTAGTGGGAAGCATGTGCTTTCTGAACTGAAAATTGTGTTTGTTTTGTGCGTTTTGTTGTGTGTTTACCTTGCTTAGAACGGCTTATATGTTGCCTCTTGAAGTAAATAGTGTGAGAGGATTAACTGTAGGCGTTATTTTGCTACTCTGAAGATTGTCAAGTGAATGTGAATTCTTAGAATGTAGAAACTGGACTGGGAGAACTGAGAAGGAATGGTGTATTAACACGACTTTTTGATTCTGTCGAGAATTTGGATATTCAGGGCAGTTTATAACTATGTCTTTCTTTTGGTTTTAGTTGTTTATCAAGAAATTTTGACTTTCATATCTTCTGATGTTGAATGAAAAATGATGTAGTATATTACTAGTATCTAAGTGAGTGTGATACATCAACTAATGCTCTTATACTTTCAAAATAATTTTGTGTAGCTGATATCTGAAACTTGTGTATATCATGTAATAAATATGTAAGAATAATTTTATTGATTTTGTTCTTTCAGATCAGCTCAATTGCATTAAGTCAGGTTTATTTGCGAACTTATAGTTATAGTTGGATTGTTATGTATAACTTATAGTTGTTGATGTCTTGATGACTGTAGGTGGAAGAGAGACAGGGCCACTGCAGAGGGTGATGATGCTAGAAGTGAGTCAATACTTGGAGAACTACCTTTGGCCAAATTTTGCTCCAGAGGCGGCTTCTTTTGAGCATGTGATGTCCATGATATTAATGGTCAATGAGAAGGTACAATGACATGTCATATATATTATCTTATATATTTAATTGTGCCCCCTTTTGATTATCGAAAACATGCATATGGAATAGAAGTTCTACTGCCTTGTTAATTTATTCTGTTGTAGCAAAATCTTTCCAAGTAAGGTCTCTGCTAGCAGTAATTAACATAATACACTGTTTTGCCACATTTATACTTTTCCTATTTGTTTAAGAATTTGAGCGTTTTATATACATATATATATCATGGGATATAGTAAATTGGATTGGGGCTTGCTTGCTAAATCCATCATGAAATGCTATCAATTGTTAATGAACATCAGAAAATTATGGAAACATCCCATAATTGTGGTTTACCAAGCCATCCACTATTGTATTAATGAATTAAAGTTACCGTTGTTGCATAAGCATGTCATCCATGAATTAGGGGGTGTACTGATCTTGACTGGCCTTGTTTGCTTGTTTGCTGAAGAAGTTTGCTTGTGAGTCGTGACATATCTATAATGAAATTTGAAAGCTGGTCATTTTTCAGCGTTGCTTAAGCTTCATGGATCATAGAAGCAAAATACTGCGAGGGTTCATGCCCTGAGCTTTTTTTTATTGGTTTTCCTTGTTTATTATGCTTGGATGATGGGATAAGCATGTGCAGTGGTTGTGTCCATCTATTATCTACGGGAGTTTAACACTATGTTAGTATGAGGGAGAATCATTGTCTTGAAAACCGGACCGGTCCTCGAACCGGTCGAGCTACTGGTTCAATGGTTCACTGGTCGGACCAGTGGTTGAACTGGTTGGACCGGAATTTAATATATTAATATTTTTAAAATATATGATATATTATATATTAAATTATATATATCAAAATCTAATTAATTAAATATTTAGATACTTAAAGTATTCATAAATATCCATTATACTTAAAAGCTATGAGATTAGACATATATGAAATATATTATAAGTTCATATGACATAAAAGTAGATATAAAAAAGACAATTAATATATTACAATATATTATTGCGTAAAAATAGTAATCACCACATTTCTATAAGTTTTTTTTTTAATAGAGAAGAAATACAATTAATATATTACATATATATATATATTTATAATATATCATTACCTCATATGTAATAAATAATCTTTCTAAGCCCATTAAGCCACTTATTATAGGATAGTATTTTGTTATTTTATTTATGGGTTATTTCCATTTCTTAAATGTTGTGCTTACAACTTTTTATAAGCCCATTAAATATTGTGCAACCAATTATTTAATATGGCCCAATAAGGCAAGAGCCCAAAACTTCCCTCAGCCATTTGTTTGAGAAGACCCGTATCCCACATCGGGATTGCAATACAAAATGTGCGGCTATTTAAGTGTTTCTACAACCAGATTCTTACAAAGCAAAACACCTGGCCGCTGACCGCCCTAACTGCAGCCGGTTTACCGGTTTGAACGGGTCTTGACCGGTTTCCCACAGCGGTTCAAAACCTCCACCCGGACCAGTGCATGTGCTGGTTCCCGGTTCAACCGGTCGGACCGGCCTGTCCGGTCCGGGTTTTATAACATTGGGGAGAATATCTGATGGTGGAGTTGCTCACTTCAATATTATGAACGAGCAGGGCATTCTAGGTTGTGTTTGGTAGCCAAGTCTATAAAGGAAAATGTAACACATTGTCCGCGATCATTCCTTTCCTTGGCTAGCTTTATCCTGGTTTAGTTTACATTTCAACAGGATCTTAGTTTCTCAATTTGGTCATTTTCAGTTATAATTTACAAATATTGTACTGGTGAAGATAGATAATGAAAGAAGAAACTGTTTTGTGAAGATTTTACTCAAAGTGGGAATGGATAAACAAAGTTGTATTAGCATGCATGTCTAGCTTAACTTTTTATCTATCTTGCTTTTCCATGAAGAGTTACTAACTAAATCATTCTGGACATGCAGTTTCGAGAAAATGTGGCAGCTTGGATATGCTTTTATGATCGAAAGGATATGTTTGAAGCATTCCTTGAGAGGGTACTTCGCCTAAAAGAGGTATATTTTCAGTCAAACATCTTTTGAAACATTTTCCCTTAGTCTCAAGGTATGCCACTTGCCAGTTTGCATTATGTTTATTGTTTAGTTGCATTAGTATGTCCCTTGTCTCTCTCTCTCTCTCTCTCTCACTGTGTGTGTATCTCTGGTTAGGAATTATCAAGAAGAATATGTGAAATTGAGTTTAGTTTAATGGGTCTCTTCGAGTGTGTGTTTTGATTTACGACAATGTAGTCAATCATACAAACATGGGGTTGAATACGCGTTGTTGTAATTTTTTGTTATTTGAAAATTTTAACTTGATTTTTGAAATACAAACAACTTGTGGTCGGTCAGTCTTGAAATCAAGAACTCATATGCTACTAAATAGGGTCTATCCTTTACTAATTCGATCTAATTTATTCTGAGATCCGAAAAATAGCACACGACCACATGATATAGTTGAAACCATTTAATTTGACAATAGTTCCCAACGTGGGTTTATGATTTGAAGACGCCATTTAAAAAAAAAAAAAAAACTTACGAATTAGAAAACTTTGGCAATAGTTGGCTATGGAAGAAGATCAACATCAACATAATAAGGGGCTAATATAATAAGAGTAGAGTAGGATTAAACTGGTGCTGCTCGAGTGGCAACAATAGATTAAGGGGGGTTGAGATAAAAAAAAAAGGCCAGAGGGGAACTTCCGCTCTGATACCATGAAAAACTAGTACAACACCCGTGTATTACACGGGTGCTTGCTAATTTTTTTCTTAAAATCTAAAATTAATGAGAAAAAAAGTTGAAAATTTAAATAGTTTTTACAAAAATATATATATTATTATATATTTAGCATAACATTTTTTATTTGTGCGACTTACCTGTGTTATATTATAATAATTTTTAACTTACAACATATAACTACATTACAAATAAATATATCAATTGATAAATAATTTTATTTTTCTAATGAATTTTAATAAATATTATTATTTTTTCTTATTATAAAGATAAATATAATTTATTTATTTCATATCTACAATATGGATGTCAAATCGAAGATCATCAAAAGATGATTAATTTGATATATAATATATGTAAAACCGATAAAAAATACAAAAGTTATCAACTTTTAAAATACATTTACAATTCAATAGCTAATTGAAGGAAACAAATCAAAGTCAGGGATATATTAGTCACTTAGTACCTCACTATGTTAAATTACAAATAATTAAAGGGTTATTATAGTACAAGTGATATTAAAATACCTAAGTTAGATAAATAATATTTATGGAATGTCCGAACCTAGATTATTAATTATTAATATATCAATATTATTTGTCCAAACCTAATTACGAAGCATGATTTTTTGCCAAGTATGATTCCGAAGCACCAGAAGCAGCCACGTAGGCTCAGCGCATTCGGGATTTATATATAGGGAGGATATGAAGTGGGAAATAATTTCTGTGTCTATTTTAAGTACACAGGACTTCCATATTATAGGAAGTACATACTAGGTTACACCTATGGATCTTCACTTGATGAAGAACATCATCATCGAGAAAGGAAGGAAGAACATCATCATCAAGAAAGGAAATAATAGGAGCAAGACATAATAATGACGTAGACTCTGAAGAAGAAGATGTGGGATGAGTGGAAGAGTTATAAAAGAAAGGACAGATCCTCGACAAAAGTTACATCACGAGATATATGCATGCGAACCCTTATGCTCAGAACTATACTAAAAAACGATGGACTCAACCGACGGAGCAGTTAGTTTAGTGCGCTCACTAGGAGAGAAAACAATACATAGCATGCAGATTCGAGAACCCGAAGATGATCATAGCTAGGGGGAATACCAAAAAGAACCTCACATAGTTTGGAAGATGGCTGTCGGTTGATAAGACACAACTTTTCCCCAAAAATGAGAAGGAACAACTGAGGCAATGAGAAGGATTCTAGCAGTCTCAATGAGATGACGGTGTTTTCTTTCTGCAACACCATTCTGAGCATGTACACCAAGAGAGCTCGGCAAGAGAGCTCGGCAAGAGTGCCCTCAGAGGTAAAAAACTGATGAAAATTGTTAGATACATACTCACCACCAGAATCACAAAGAAAAATTATAGGAGTTGAAAACTGAGTATGAATCACGCGAGCAAAGTCTTTATAAATGGAACACAACTGATAATGATGTTTCATAAAATAAATCCAAGTATATCGATAATGACCATCAATAAAAAGAACATAATATTATTGCCACCTTTTGTGGGAAAAGGGGACGGACCCCATTCATCAGAGTTAATAAGATCAAAAGGCCTAACAGAATGATAAATACTAATAGGATATGGGAGTTGCAACTGTTTTCCGAGCTTGCAACTCTTACAATGAAAACTAAACTCAATAGATGTACAACTTAAACAATCGATACTCATCGAAGTAGATAAATGGGACCCACTCAAATGACCAAGACGATGATGCCATTTAGTGAAAGATGAGGTGGAAGACAAGGCAACCGATGACACACGAGCGGTAGAACCAGTGGAAGAGGGAAGATGAAAAGTGTCTAAGATATAGAGACTCAGAGAACCTTTACGACGATGGCCATTCCCAATCACAGCCCCGCTTCGACGATATCCAACAAGACAGTTTTGATGGACTTGGCCAACTGACAAGATTCATAGATAACTTAGGAACATAAGAGATATTAGGCACTCAAAAACGTGAATTGTGTAGAGAACCCTCATGAGTGATATGACAAGAAGTGTCATTAGCTGTCTGGATAGAAACACCATCGGGGACTGCCTTACAACCAACTGGGACTGATCAAATGTCATATGAAAAGATGCTCCAGGATCGAGGACCCAAGACTGAGGTGCATGGAAATGAGAGGCAACAACGGCATAAACAGACCCCTTTGTAGCAGAAGTCGGACCACGAGCCCGAGCAGTACTCAGCCAACTTTTTGAATGATGAGTAAAACAATTTTCGGCATTATGACTGGTCTTCCCGCAATGATTACAAGGTTCTGAGAGTCACCTCTGGGTGCATCAAGCCAATGAGAAGATGTCCTTTGAGGAGCGGATACCAGTTGTAACGCCTTTCATTGGCATGACCTTCAGAAACACTTTGTCTCCCTGCTCAAACTCTAGCTCCCTTCTACGCTTGTTAGCGTAGGCCTTCTGTCGGCTCTGTGCCTCTCTCAGCTTCTTCGGATCTCGGCTACCTTCTACACCGTGTCCTTGATCAACTTGGGACCTAGAACCTGTTTCTCGCCAACTTCATCCCAATAAAGGGGTGAGCGGCACTTGCGACCGTATAATGCTTCGAACGGTGCCATTTTGATCGACGAGTGATAGCTGTTGTTGTAGGCAAACTCCACAGTGGGTAACAACTCCTCCCACGAACCACCCCGCTCTAGAACACAAGCTCGAAGCATGTCCTCCAAAAACACAATGGGGGCGTGAGCAAACCACTATGCTCCGCAAAGACCAGTACTGAATAAAACAACATTTATAATATCGTGTCATGAACATAAATATATAAGAGCTTAAACTGTAAACTTTTCTTTTCTTGCTTTACTGTGGTCAAAAGACCCTCGGCCCTCGGCCGCTCGTGTGCACACCCCGATGGGATATTAAGGCCCTTGGCCTCCACCGGGTCCCCAGATGGGATATTAAGGCCCTCGGCCTCCACCTGGAGAAACTAACTGTCTCGAACATACCTCTGCCATGGTACAGATATTATATATGATGTGGAATCCAGTACATGACCCCCACCTGGTATACTGTAAAAATATCTGACTGACGCAAGTGATGAAATGTTGGGGTAGCTGTCGGAGGCTCGACTCTCCTTAAGCTACCAAAATATTTAAGAAATATATCTACTCAGATAACTCTTAAATATTAAATCAAACATATCATATTTTGATAATACTAATTGAGGGATAATCACTCAAGTCTAAGCGTGCTAACTTATTTTAACATAATAAGCTAAAGGAACCCTCAAATCTCATGATTTTTATAAAATCATATTTAACTCTAAAAATGCTGAAACTTAGCAGTTAAATAATACACATAGACATGCATCTCTAATTAAAATTTCAGCTCATTATCATGTCATTAGCTTGGTCATGAGAATCTTGGATATTTTTACGCATATTTTATGTCCCAGTATTTATGATCATGTATTATTCGGATATGTATGCATGTATTTCTGTATTTCGGACGCTTCCGCTAGCAGACTAGACAGTGCGAGACAGTTCAGACATTGCATGTTTAATTCCATTATCCGTAGCGGATAGTTTGGTTGCGTGTTTTATATATGTCTGTGAGCAAGTTAAGTAAGTTTTTATCTGTGACATCCCGCAACCAGTTAGTATTTTTGAAAACCAAGCTCGCACGACCTTTCAAAAATAAAAGCGAAAATTTTACTCTGATTTTCAAAGCTAGTAATTCGAAGAGAAGGTAGGGTGAATCAATGGATCAGAGTAAGACAATCTGTCACACCCCGCCTTACTAGCTTTGAAAATCAGAGTAAAATTTTTGCTTTTATTTTTGAAAGGTCGTGCGAGCTTGGTTTTCAAAAATACTAACTGGTTGCGGGATGTCACAGATAAAAACTTACTTAACTTGCTCACAGACATATATAAAACACGCAACCAAACTATCCGCTACGGATAATGGAATTAAACATGCAATGTCTGAACTGTCTCGCTAGTCTGCTAGCGGAAGCGTCCGAAATACAGAAATACATGCATACATATCCGAATAATACATGATCATAAATACTGGGACATAAAATATGCGTAAAAATATCCAAGATTCTTATGACCATGCTTTGCCACGTCTATGCTCATCCGGCACGCTCGACTCCGTCTCCTGAAAAACACAATAGGGGCGTGAGCAAACCACTATGCTCCGCAAAGACCAGTACTGAATAAAACAACATTTATAATATCGTGTCATGAACATAAATATATAAGAGCTTAAACTGTAAACTTTTCTTTTCTTGCTTTACTGTG